AGAGTACAAGATTTATTATATTATTTAGTATTTAGTATAGTATAGTATAGTATTACATTATTAGTATAGTATTGTATTGCATTGCAGCATTGTATTACATTATTGTAAAGTATAGCATTACTATAATGTAGTAATAGCAGTATAGTATTTTTTATAGTTATTTATAATATAATATTATTTTATCAATATAGTTTTATTTATTAGTATAGTATCATATTATTTAGTACGTTTAGTTAGTACGAATTTTAATAATATTACATTATTACCGAAAACCACAAATTATTATTAGGAAAATAAAACTTGAAATGCCTTTTTAATAATCAGTTAATAACTTTATTTGTGAATAGAATAAACCTTTTATTACAGTGAGAGAGAGAGAGAGAGAGAGAGAGAGAGAGAGAGAGAGAGAGAGAAAGAAAAAATAATAATATTATAGCAGTAGCACATGGTCGAATAAAGGTCGGTAGCAAAGTAATCTTAAAAAATGTCATTGCGGTAATTTTAATGAAATCTTTACCGAAATCGTAACGCGGAGAAAAGTCCGACGTAAGTCCGCGAAACGTTTTCACCGGAAAAAGTCACGGCTCGAAGCAGCCCCACGTGTATCCGGCGCGTCATACGTTAGACGGCTCGCAAACGAGTCGAGAAGAATCGATTCGACACGATCCGCGGGAGGGTTGAATGAAGAAACAGGACGAAAAGGAAATGATAAGTCCCCATCCTTTTTACGGGCCCGGAGGCTCTTCGGTGTGATCCTTTTTCCTTTCTGAGAGCCACTGTGGATAATTGGAACCGCACCCACGATCCTCTCGCGTCTGTCCCTGCGATTGTCTCGCTTTTTACGTGCTCACCTTTCCTACGCCGTTTAGCGTCGTTTCTCCTGACAAAACTCACGGAACGATGTCGGAAAATGTCCTTGCATCGAGATCGAAAAAATTCACCCCTTGCAACAACTCGAGTGCGAAGTTATGCCTAAGCATGCCAAAGTTAAGTTCACCTTTAACCCTTTACGCTCGAAGCCAAATTAACGCAAAATTTAATAGCTCTTCTGATCCACGGTATTTCCATTTTATGTAACCTAGTAATAATATATATATAATAATTATTATATATATTATTATTATTATTATATATTATATAATATTATATATATATATATATTAAATTGAATTTTGTAACTCATGCAACAGTGATGCCTTTAACAGTTCTTTAAATATAAACAAATTTGATAAGTAAAATTATTTTAAAATGTGACATAACACTTTTAGTGGTGCCTTAGGGTTGCCACTCGAGTGCAAAGGGTTAATCGTTCTCGTCGTTCTTTGGCGAGAATGTGAATTCTCGTTTACGTCGATACAATTAATACGACAAAAAACATTTGCAAATATATGCGCGCTTGTTTTTTTAACCTAAATCGTTGATACGTCGTGCACGGTATAATCTTTTATTCATTTTACGATTTTTCATATTTACCGAATCCGTCTTTCATCGTAGAAAATGTCTTTAAATAAAAACAACTCGGTCTGTTACCAAAGGAAGAATGATCTATGTTTTTTGTTACTGAAAACACCACATTGCCGGTAAATCGTTCACTCCGTGATTATAAAATGATAATTATTTCGGTAGAAATTAGTTCTAATTTATAACATATTTTTAGTTTATAATTTTATTGATTATAATTTATAGAAAGATTATCACATTCGACGAATTACAGCGAATACTTTTCCGCTATTTAGTTTTATCGAAAATTCTCCGATAATGTCGAAACGCGTGTAAACAAATTTTCATTGCAGATGCAAAAAATCACCCGAATGCAGTATCACGTCGCAAGACTCCATCTTCGAGCGGCGGACTACTAGGTTTTACTATTCGATCATAAGATTAATTAACAACTTAAAAAAAGGTTTGCATAACATTCTGCAGCCGCGATTTCGCGTATTTTCTTACAGAGAAGGAACAACGTCGCCGTGCACGAACCAGTTACCGTGCGGCGACGTGTCCGACGAATCCAGTTCCTCGAACGAGAGTCGTCGAAAGCCATGTGTCAAGTAAATATATATGTTCATTTGCATATGATTAGGAAAAAATATTCTTATTAAATTCTTAATTAGACAGTGTCCGTGTAGGAACCAGTCAGTGTGCGACGACGTGTCCGACGAATCCAGTTCCTCGACACAGCGTGATCGAGAGCCGTGCGTCAAGTGAATAAATGTTTATTGATAGTCGAAAAGAAAATTCTTGCAACGAAATAATAATAATAATAATAATTTAAAAATTACAGTGATATTTTTAGCCGCGTAATATTAGGTGAGAACACAATTTAATGTTTTAATGTTTCTTTTTTTTTTAAAGAGAAGACATAGCTCCTGAACGTATAAAGAAGTCAGTGTGCGCCGACGAGTCGGATGAATCCAGCTCCTCTACCAGGGTGAATCTGAAGTCGTGTATCAAGTAAATGAAACTGCAACGTTAATTGAAAAGAGTGAGAGTAATTGAAAACATTGAAATTCTCTTGATTTTATTAGGAAAGTATTTTTTGGAGACGAAGCATCGGACGAATCTTCTGTATTCGACTGTACGTGTCCAAGGTATAATACTATACTAATATTATATTAACTATTAATTGTTAAATTAACAATTCTTTTGCCGGAAGCCTATTAAGTCCTATTGAGCCTATTAAATTATATCAAAAGTCTACAGCGTTCTACTCAGAAGTCTACAAAGTTCTACTCAGAAGAATCTCAACGATTTTCTTTTATAATAATAACTTTTTAGAAGCAATTAATACAAGCGATATTAATTCAAATAATTTGTCGAATCACGGATAAAATTGTTATTGCCACCTGAACAATTTTTTAAGAAATCTGAATACATAAGATAAAAATCTAAGAAGCAGGAAAACTATTTAATTGGTATCGTGGACTGGGTCGATTATCGAGCTCAAAATTAACAATATTACAATAAATAAAATTCAAGATAATACGCATCTTCTAATACTGAATTTTCTCTCCACATTCAGACCACTCTATTCGCTATGTTTCGATCTTGCGGAGGACCAGGATTCGTTCACAGAAGAGCTGCTCAGGCAGCTTCCAAGGTAACGGGACATATTTTTCAATTATGACGAAGAAAAATGTGCGCGACAATAGAACCGCCGAGCGAGAATCGTAAACTTTCCACGATTTTAAGCAGTACGAGATACGCGGATGATTCTCGGAAAACCTGGGAGATGTTACTTCATTGCGAGAGGGCAGCATTCGCGAGGACGTCGTTGAATTTGCCTTTGTCTTCGAGAGAGGTAACTAAATCTGCGGCAGAAAGTTAGAAATCGACATTACATCGCTAATATTAATTATTAATATTTAAGAATTACGAATAAACGACAATCAGGGAGAATTTTGCTGTATATTATAAAATTATTATGATTTCAATTAATTATCAGTATATTAATAATATAATATATAATATTATATATAATATTATAATATAATATTAATATTATATATAATATTATAATATAATATTAATATTATTTTATATTATTTTATATTAATATAATATAATATATAATATATATAATTATAATATTCAGGCCCGTTTCTACTGGCATCTGTACTCATCCGCTGTAAAAAACTCGGGGCTGTACCAGAAGAATGTGAATCATGCTCTTCTACTGACACTAAACAAGTAATAATCGTTGATTAACCGGTAATTTTTGTTTTAAATAATAATTTCAGAAGCAATTAATACACGATATTTATACTCAAATCATTTATTGAATCGCGGATAAAATTGTTATCGCCTTCTGGACAATTTTTCTTAAGGAATCTAAATACACAAAATACAAAAACTTGCAATTGCAAGAATCGCAAAGACTGGAACACAGCTTGGACGATATTAAAACGATTTATCAGCCGCTGCAAAAGCAGCCGCCGAAGTCTGCGATTTTCTCGAAATTTTTGAGCACGCGAGATCGTGTTCCTACACCCAAGAAATTTCATCTGCCAACGATGCCGCCGATTCTCGGAACCCTTCCGCGGCCATCCGCGATAGATTCGTCGCGTCGAATTAGCTATCGGGTCGACAGAGCTGCCGGGGTCGAACAACTCGAAAACTCGTTTGCATTGAATTGAAAAATTGTCCGATCCTTCGCATTCGATCACCTGCATTCAAGGCCTCCTATATCGAAGCCTACGCGAACGGGAATGTCTGCATTGTGTCCCACGAGTTGAAAGTTATTTATACAGGGTTTCGCAAGCCTGAAGCCGGGGAGAACGTTCGTTCGGGTCCTGAAACTGCGGATTCCTCTACATTGTGATCCGCGCCAACGGAAACCTTTGTCGACCCATACATCCCGGGGCCCCATATTCCGCGGAATATCGGATTGTCTGTAAATAAATTGCGGCCACCCGGCCACGTGGTGTACAAAGAGAGGGTAGTTTCGTTCGAAATTTATTCGCGCGGTCGAAATAACTTCCATCGCGCTCTCTACAGTTTTCCCGGCGGTTGTTTTGCGAGAGCTACTCCGTGGAATAAATATTAGGACATTTTAAAGTCAACAATTTCAACGTTTTCGAATCGAAATCGCGACCCCGCTTTGCCTTTGCGTCGCTTCGTTTGTCGAGCCGAACAAAGGAAAAACAAAATCTGACTCGCGGCGCAGGCTAAATCCGTTAATCGAACTGGAAAAATCGTGGGGCTTCAAAATTGGGAATTCAAATTGGCTACAAAAGACATTTAAAAAAAGGGAGAAGTTGTATTTGCAAAATGCTAGCGTTTGCAAAACAGTTCCTAATATATTTATCCTATTTTTTGTGCTCCAAATTGTTAGCGGCAAATTTCGCGGATTTACAGACGTTGCACCGAAGGGAAAAAATCGCAAAATTAATATCCGACGGTAAAATTTTTGTTCAGATTGCTAAACAGCCGAAAGCAGAAGACGGACGTCAGCATGTGGAGCCAACTAATCCGACCGAGGACGTTCGATTTCATCGGCCGGGAGACCCTAATAAATCGACTCGCCGCGTTCATCTAGCAAGTTATTCGACTCGTATCGTACTGCCGTCGATGCCGGAAAATATTTTATAGGTATTATATGCATCCTGCGTTTTCTAGCATGCAGAACAACCTGGAATCTATATGCCTGGAAGGTCTGTCATTGAAGCCCGGCGAAGGTATACGACTTCTCACGGCGCTGTACAATTCCCGTGGAACAATGAAATATGCGTACTGTTGGCGCGCATTCGATAAAACGGTCGGCATCCCGACGAACGATCGGTATCAGGCTGAATCAAGATTCTGCCCGGCGAAAAATCTCGAGAAATGCGACTGGTTTCGCGCGATCGGTTGTTTGGCGTGTCTCACCACCCTGTCCATAAATTACGCGTATATAGCGACACCCACGGGGGATCTACTTATCTCCCTGGCCAAGTATATTTTCGCCCGTTTCATATTTTCATTACGATTCGCTAATGAACCGTCATTTTCCGTACGTAGGATCGGCATGTTCGACGTTCTCGAACTACCAGTTCTTTCAAATATCTGTATTTGTCTAATGTCGGCCGTTAAGGATCGGACGCGTTCTCTACGGTCGAACTGAAATCTGGTTTTCTGGTTTTTCTCTGACTCTGGCACAGGAAACTGCGGGAAAATTGGAAATGGCTGCAACTGCTATGTCTTCGGGAAGAAATTACGCGGAACCGCGACGGCGACGCGATTCTCATACCCGAATACGCGTGGATGAAAGCGCACGGTCTGGCAACCAAACTGAAAATACAATATGCTATAAGTAGATATACATACATATATGTGTGTATATATATATATATATATATATATATATATATGCATTTTTTCTTGGATCGTCGTTTATCATACTTGTGCACGTATGTTTGTCTTTCAGTTGGAATACCAGAGCACGACGTCCACAAATTGTTTCTCACGAAACAGACAAGGGTGCACACGTTCGCGCTAACTACAGGCATCGACCTCAGGTTTCGACAACCCTGGTGTCTTGATCTGACGATTAAAACGATCTGTTCGTGGTATCCGGACACTTTAGGTAATCAAAATACGATTATTCACGTATATTTAGAATGTATTTGTCGTCGAATAATAAGTTTGCTATAGTTTGTACTGCACTGTAATAATTTTTTTATTTTTTAACACTGTAATATATTTTTATTTTCTTGTCGCGTTATCTCTTTAGCTTGTGTATAAAGAATAGAATAAAAGTATATGTATCGTGTATATGCTCAGTTCATCTTTTTTCCTTTTTATTCAAAGAAAATGCAAGTTTAGATATCTAGGTCTGTATGTTATTTTTAATTTGGCCAGAGAAGCTTTAAGATACTTCAATATCAAATATCGGAACAAATTCGGATCGATTTATCAACGATCGATCTTAAATATTGTTCTTTAATGTGAAAAATAACAGACTGTTAACCGATCAAGCTTTGTTTATTGGTAAAAAGTATATTAACAAGTGTAAAGTATATTAACGTTAAATGATAGTTCGAATTTCGCGCTAAAAAAGTGCAAAGTGGCGCCGCCTGTGGCGAAATTTCGAAGCTTTTCTGGCGTTCCGTGCAGCGCCAATTAGTAAATGGCAAAACGCTGAAACTACTAGCCAAGCGGTGGCGCCTCTTGCGGCGAAATCTGGAAGCTCCTTTCAAAGTCCGTACAGCGTCAATTAGTAGGTGGCAAAACGCTGAAACTACTAGCCAAGCGGTGGCGCCTCTTGCGGCGAAATCTGGAAGCTCCTTTCAAAGTCCGTACAGCGCCAATTAGTAGGTGGCAAAACGCTGAAACCTGTCTCTTATACACATCTAGATGTGTATAAGAGACAGGTTTCAGCGTTTTGCCACCTACTAATTGGCGCTGTATGGACCCTGTCTCTTATACACATCTAGATGTGTATAAGAGACAGGTTTCAGCGTTTTGCCACCTACTAATTGGCGCTGTACGGACTTTGAAAGGAGCTTCCAGATTTCGCCGCAAGAGGCGCCACCGCTTGGCTAGTAGTTTCAGCGTTTTGCCACCTACTAATTGGCGCTGTACGGACTTTGAAAGGAGCTTCCAGATTTCGCCGCAAGAGGCGCCACCGCTTGGCTAGTAGTTTCAGCGTTTTGCCACCTACTAATTGGCGCTGTACGGACTTTGAAAGGAGCTTCCAGATTTCGCCGCAAGAGGCGCCACCGCTTGGCTAGTAGTTTCAGCGTTTTGCCACCTACTAATTGGCGCTGTACGGACTTTGAAAGGAGCTTCCAGATTTCGCCGCAAGAGGCGCCACCGCTTGGCTAACAGTTTGAGCGTTTTGCCATTTACTAATTGGCGCTGTATGGACCTCATTCGGAGCTTCATTTTTTCCCCAAAAGAGGCGCCACTTTCCCTTTTATTTGCACAATATAAAAACACTAATTATGACAAAATTAGAGCATAATAAAATAAACCAAGAGCACAGACCTGTTCAGAAGAACATACTGTATCTACACCATATTAAAAAAACAAATAACGACATTGTGAAACATAATTAATTGGTCTTTGAAGTTCGGTTAATTATCATGTCAATTAAGTATATTTTGCAAATAAATATTTACAATTGTAATGGATTTATAGACTTTACAGTGCATGCATTCTGTTTAGCGCCTAACTGATAGTTCACGATATTTTAAATTTAATATTTGTCTTTATGTATCTTTTTTCATTATGTAGGTCTTTTTTTTATTCAATCAGAAAGTCACGAAAATTTTGAATTTAATTTTTATATTATTGATACAATTGTTATGGTTTGTACAGTATACTTGTGTTTCCGATTTTGGCATAATCGAGAGAATTTGGACGTTCAGTTAAAGAAGATTTTTCTAGATCTACCATGTCTTCGAGTTTTCGAGTATACTGGTGAAATTCGGATGTTGAAAACACTTTGCGCTATGTGTTGTCAAATACGATCCAACAAATGCAGTAATTGTTCAGTCGTGTCTCAAAAAATTGTATCTGCAAATATTAATTGTCATATGTTTCAGAGGTTTGTCGTGTCAACATGGAACTTCAGAAAGTTATACATGAAGATATTGATGAAGAAAAGTGGATAAAAAGTATAAATGGCTTAATGGTTTGTTTTAAACGCGATTTCGATAAAATGGGTGTCAAGTTTGATGTAAGTTTCTGTGATTGCTGATCTATGAACTACCATTAACAAGAAAAATAGATCATAGGATTATGAAATATTTATTACATATATATATATATTGTATCTGTAATAAATTCTAACGTAACAAATATATAAAGTTAATAAAATGCAATTGCAGAAAAGCAAATAAAAAATTGCTATTATAGCGATTCATTTGAACTTGTATATTACAAATAAATTATTCAATAAATTTTTCAAATTTATTATGATTCTGTTGATTCTTGTTCAAATTTTGGATACTTTGCTTCGATGTCAGCCCATGTAATTTTACCATAGGACAGATCTCGTACAACACCCGGAAGTTCATCCAACTGTAATTAAAATTATGGATTATTTTTCATTAAATTGTCTTTTACCGCGTCTTCGAATACATTGACTCACGTTTATTCTAACTTGTCTCATACTATCTCTTTCGCGTAATGTAGCGCTGTGAGGTGTTTTCAAAGTATCAAAATCAATAGTAATACCAAATGGTATTGCTATCTCGTCGGTTCGTGCATATCTACGTCCAATACTTCCGGACGAATCGTCTATCTTATGAGAAACATCTACTTTCGTTAGATCCTGAGCTGCAAATGGTAAACAAAATATTTAGATGAATAATATATAATTATTTGGAAAACTATTTTAAAATTTATCTGAAGCAACATACTTACACAATTGTTTTACAAACGGTACAAATTCGTCATTACTACTAAGTGGTAACACTGAGCACTTTAAAGGTGCTACGACAGGCGGTAAACTGAAGTACGTTCGTTTCTCATCTCCGTCCCTTGCTTTGAAGTTATGTTCAAAGACAGCATACATGATACGTCCTATACCAAAGGATGGTTCAATTACAGATGGAATGATTTCTTCTACGTGTACAGTCTTTTGATATCGTTTTACTTGAATCATGTCCTTTGTAATTTTTACGTCAGTATCATTAGAGAGCTTCAATTCTTCTTCTCCATTCTCACTAATGGCGGATTCTAAAGCATTGATTTCACTTTCGGTTAATGCTGCTAACGCATCTTGAACTAATTTGCTATCTTTCTTGAACGTTTTCCCAATTAGAACTTTGTTTGGTACTATTTCACATATATCAACATTTTTCGGCGCCGATAGCTTTTTCTCCGCTACTAATTTAACTCCGGTGGCTTTAGTGTGTTGCGTCAAATCATAAGCCGAACGGTCGGCGCAACCAACACATTCTATCCAGCCATAAGAAGTTAAACATTCAGCATCCCAACAGTCACACGCATAATGAGCCATTTCATTTCCCATATGTTGACGAAATCGTAATCTTTTTGGATCAACTCCAACTTTAATTAAAAACTGATTAATTCTACCCATAAAATACCCTAATGTTTCGTTAGCTATAAGCTTTGTTGATACAGCATCGCCTATAGTAACACGTTGTGCACTCTTGCCATCCATTTGATTGCAAGCTGAATATAAGAGCAAGCTTAAATCTTTAACCGTTTCAAACTTGGGATGGCTTTTATCATTAGGATCACAAAAGTGTTCTATCTCTGCCATAGTGAACTCTCTCACTCTGATAAGGCCAGATCTTGGAGAAATTTCATTACGAAACGCGTTTCCAATTTGGGCTGCAGCAAATGGTAGCCGTTCTTGATTAAATGCAAGTAATCTTTTAAAGTTTACAAAAATACCTTGTGCAGTTTCTGGTCTCAGGTATCCTTTTTTTAGACCTGTAGGACCGATTTCAGTTGCAAACATTAAATTAAATTCTATTGGTTCTGTTAAATCGTTTCCAGAGATAGGAGATTTCATATTAAATTTCAATAGAATAGCAGCCATTTCATCTTTTGTCATCCCATCTAATTTAACAATAATATCATTGCATTCGGCACGTGTCGCTTCGCTAGTTTTTTTATCATTACAAATCTTTTCTAGATGTGCTTTAATTAAGTGATCTAATCTAAAGCATTCTCCATTCTTTACATCTTTCACCATTAAGTCTGCAAATCTCTCAACATGCCCGGATGCTTTAAGTACTGGCTCCGGTGTTAAAATGGAACAATCAACTTCTAGCATTTGTTCCTCTAATACAAAAAAGTTTCTCCAATTATTTAATAGATTTGTCTTAAATGCACAGCCCATAGGACCAAAATCAAATTGACCAGTAATTCCACCATAAATTGCGAAAGACTGATCTAAGAAGAATCTACGTTTTAAAAGGTCCTCCATTCTTGCTCTATCAAATAATGTTACTTCTGAAAAAGATAATTCTTTCTCTTCCAACAATTTCTTTCGAAGCTTAAGCTCTGCAACCGCTTTCTTGATGTCCAATTCTGGAGCTCCATCGGATTTAAGCTTCCGAACATGGTCACCCTATAAAAAGGATATATAATTAACAAGTAATACAATTAATTTTTAATCGAGAATATTAAATTGAAGATAGTTGAAGTGGCAATATAAAGCTGAACACTTTAATTCAGAATACACCTATATTTGCGGTAGTAAGATTTTTGATTAACATAAGAACTATATTATAATTTATTATACGTGTAAGAACATTTAATAATGAAGAATAATTATCCATATGGTACCAACCTGTGCCTTGACACTAGCTCGAAGAGGCGAAAGAATTGCTTCAATTTTCGGATCCGACATATCACAAAAAATCTGTATTTTCACGAACCGGTTACTTTTCTTTGTGCCCCAATTGCTAAAATCGGCTAACCTAGCAGAAACAGTGAACTTTCGAAGAGGCTGTGTATGAATGACAATATTCTTGCAAGTGCCTCGTGCGATTGTTCTGCAAAGAAAGTGTAGGTTACGCGAAATCAACTGCATTGGCGATGCCTTCTATTTGAACGTCGGACAAGGTACATACGTGATTTCAACAATTACCTTTTACTTGAACCGAACAAAATGTAGGTCCCTATTTCTAATGATACGTCACTGTTGGCGGCAACAGCTGACGTACTTTCAAATAGTCCTACACAGAATTATAATTGGAGAACACGATAGAACTATAGCGTTAATTATTCCCAAATAATGTATCTTTAATTACTCTTTCTATAATATATGTTTCAAATGACAATAGTTTCAGCGAAACATGCGAAACAAATAATATACACTTGTAAACACTTTATAATGTTACTTTCTTTTGTACTCTTATAATATGCAATGTCAACACTAAAAATAAAGAGCATATTTTATTTATAACGATGCGTTTATATTTTTTCATAAGGAATATATTATTCCAAAACAAGTAACATTATACAGATACAACTGAAAAGTTTCTGGCTAAAAAAAAAAGAGATAAAGAATACAAAATGTGACGCATATTACACGTAATCATAAGTTTATCAGGTTTTTTTTATTAAATTAGTGAAGTATCACCAAACCAACTTATATATTACAAAAAGAAAAGAATTGTATTTTTTTCTTAATTTCGAATGATTTTATTTTTGTGTAACACTGTAGCATGGTTTATAGAAAAATCACAATTAGAAAAAAATGATATATAAAAGAAGCTGCTGTATGTCTGATATTTTCCACCTACGAATGTTTTCTTATGAATTATAACTTTTCTATAAACCTAGCTTCCGCATAACACATTAAATCACATAATGTGCATAGAGGATAGTGTGTAATGTTTCATTCGTGCTACCATAGGGATGTTAAAAGATCTTACTGGTAGATTCATTTCTTAATTACAATCTTATCATTTCACATATAAGTAATAGATCCTTAAATCTACGCATTTACATGCACCATGTGTTAATTCCAAGTCAAGTGGTTGGTCAGACGTAAGGGTAAACGTTATACAAACAATTATATATATGTATATTTATATATATATGCTTCAATCTTTCTGTATAACAACGCTACAATCAAAAACAATCTCTTGATCAGTGTAAACAATTTATTTTACATAAGAGCAATACTCTGACATCAAAAGAAGCGATAATAATGGATAATATATTGTAATAAATAAAGTATGAAATGTAAATAATGGGTATTTACAAGTATGTAAATGGCAAAAAAGCTATAACAGAGACAAAATAATTTGTTCTCATCTTCCGTAAATATAATCCCGCTGTATGTATTTTACAATAGATTCTGTCGCTTGTTCGCAGACACGCACCTTACGTTAATATCGCGCTATGTATATACCTGTACACTTAGAACCTAGAGAACGTGCAGCCATAGCACGTATCAACATGTAAGATGCTTCTAATCTTTCCAATATAGCAAACATGTGACAGATTCGATGATAAATACATACTAATAGTATTCAGCATGAGTGCTTATTCTTCATAATAATTCGTCTATAATGTTCAGAGGGAGCACCATGATAAACATGTACGCGGCTTTACTTTTCACTTGGAAAATCGATTAAAAATCTCGTGCTCGGACTCCCGATTAACTTACGTTAACATAAATGCACAATTCCGATCCAGTACACTAACAACCGTAATTATAACTTCTCGCTTCTATAGTTTCACGCGTGGACCAAAGTCAGACTCTGTGCCCAAATAAAAATATACAAGCAAAAATGTCACACGAGAATATATGACAAAATATCACAGTTCCGAGTTCGAAAAGTCGCTTCTGAGAATCATGGCTCTCCCTTGCCCCCTCTTTTTCATCTATGTTCCAAGACAGTCATGAACTTCAAGACATCCTAGTTAACAACATTCCTACATGCTACTATGAGATTATCTATTTCAGAAACCGTAACGTTTAATAGTAATACATAGTCCATATACAACTTGCTAAGGATGCTGTAAACTGTATACTGGCTGCTAAATGTTCCATGTGAATACTGTACGTATAATGTATGTAAAAAGTCAGAGGTGACACATAGATTCAGAGCGTATTGTGTAAATGAAGCCTAATTCCACTGTTTCGATATTAATACCTATGGGAACCGAAATAACGATGCACAGTCTGAAATTCATTCTTATGAAAGAGTGATGAATAATATGGGAACACTATACAAGAAATCTATTCTTAGCGAGAGTATACACAATGGTTCAATTAATGTATTAAATGTATTAACTGCTATAGTTATATATAATATGCTACTGTTCTCAAAATATCGGTAACTTCTTAAGCACTTTAAATAATATCATTTGGAAATAATTGATAAATATCCATCACTCTTCGTACATTAACTTAGGAGGAAGAATCAGTTAACTTTAACGCGATTTATATTTCTATTTTTAAGTATATATAAAATCGAAGATGGAATGCTGATGTATAAAATTTTATGAACAATGTGTTTCTCCTTTTTCCTTAGTCTTCGTATTTTTCTGAGTACTGCATTTAATCAGAACGATTTTTTCTCCGTTCTTTCCTTATGGTATATATAAAAGTGATCATTATAGCATTTATGCACAAAGCTAAACGATAGTATACAGCATTCCTTCCTTCTTTACGTTATTATCTGTTTACAAGGTACAAACTACTTTCTCACTCAATATTCCTGGTGCCATTTTCTTTTCAAATCAATCTATATCGATTTTTAAGTCTGAAATAACGAACAGTAAATGTATTTGTATGTCAAAAATATGTTTTACTTTTATCCCTATTCGATTTAATTAAATACATAGCATACATGTAAACACAAAATTTAAGAGTTTAAAAAGCGTAGAAAATATTAGAACATCTCTATGAAACCATGGAATATCAAGTTAAGAAATTAGTTGATGCCTTTTAAACATTGATACATTATTTAGTCGAATAGATGCATCGTAAAACGGCATGGCATTTCAGGCTAAATATTTTGAACATTTTAACAAATTGCACAGTTCAAAGTTAATAAGGATCATCTCATTTCTCTTGACATAAAATCGGTACTCCGGAGAAGTACCTACGTAAATTTGATTACCTTAATACAATACTTGTGACTAAATATTTACATCAATGCGTTTTACAGCTTCAGTCTATTAAGCTTCTGAACCGCGACAGCCTTCGAACTTTCGCAATATGCGGCGTTTTACGAAATTATTATATACTAATTGTTCATTCGTGATACCACGTGACTTTTCCTACTGAGCAGGTGGTTGCGGCTCGCTAGACATATTAGGGTTCGGATATGGCGATAAAAATGAGTAATTGGGATAAGGTGGTGGCGGATGTGGGAATGGAGGATAGTAATTAGGCGGATGTGAAGACGGAGGCGCGTAACCTCTGTGTATATAAGGGTCTGCTGGTGGAGGCGGACCATGAAATGCTGAATACATGCGAGCGTATTCTGTATTATAAGTCGGGCCGCCATATGCCGGATACCCAGGCGCACCTGTATCACAAATCCAGATTCAAGAATATGTCTTAGCAATCAATAAGGTGATATAACTTGTATAAACATACCACTTGGCGGATAAGCTGCTGAAGAACCTGGTGCTGGAGGATAATGCTGCGAATATGGATCATACGGTCCTGGCGGGTAAGGCCCGGGATACCGACTACTCGTAGGATGACTGAACGCAGTAGGTATGTGGGCATCATCCCTATTGGTAGTAGTAGTAGCAGTAGTAGTCGCGGTAGTGGCTGCTGTTGTTACCACTGCTTCTGTACCTTTAGATTCCGTTGTATTTGCTAACGTTTTGGCAGTAGTGTTAGGTACTTGTGAATATGTGGGAGGTACATTTATCATCGTTCTGTCTTCCACTGGTTTTCCTAAGTCCGATTGTGTTTTAGTTGCGTCCATTGGCAACCTCGGATTTGTCGTGTGAGGTGGTACACCAGGGAAATAGGTGCCATAAGGGGAAGATAATGATCGCGATCTTGGATCGGTGTAATCGTAGTACCGAGGATATTGTGCATAAGGGTACCCTTGTGGAACGTTAGGTTCCCCTTGCATAGGTGTCGTCTCGCGTATATTCGATTCTGGTATTTTCGGAGAAGTCATTGTATTTGTTCCAGTGCATATAGTCGTAGCAGAAGTTCCAATAGTTGAATCTGTTATTCCTTTAGGAGCTTCTGTACTTCGCAGTGAAGATGTTGGTGGTGCTTGCATCGTTGATGGTGCTGGTTGTTGTGTTAATAACGGCGTCAATGGTGTGGAAGAAGTTGCCTGTGTTCCAACTTGGGACGACATTTGCGACGACACCTGTGGAGGTGCTTGCGGAGGTACTTGCGGTGGTACCTGTGGCGGTATCTGCGACGATACCTGTGGCGATATCTGCGATGATACCTGTGACGGCATCTGCGATGATACCTGCGGCGGTACCTGCGGCGATACTAGCGGCGGTCCTTGCGGAGGTATCTGTGGTTGTACCTGTGGCGATATTTGCGAAGGTACATGTGACGGTATTTGCAGCTGTATTTGTGGCGGTACTTGCAGTGGTACTTGAGGTGATATTTGTGTTTGCACCTGCGATGTTACTTGAGGTACTTGCGGCGTAATTTGTGGCGGTACTTGCTGCGTTATCTGCGATGGCATTTGCGAAGGTGGTATCTGAGAATGTACCTGTGTCTGTATTTGAAGCGGTACCTGTGGCGAATCTTCGATTATGATCTCATCGTTAGAGGAATCCCTGTTGTCTTGTTGATTCGGGAATGCATGACCATAATTCGTTAATCTATCATTTGCTTTCGAGACCTGTGTCTCAATCGAGGGAGAACACTGTTTGTTCAGTTTCGATGTCAATTCCGTCTCTGTCTGATCGTGATGCGTTTGAACACCTTGTGCCATCACAGATTCCGATGAATATACTTGACTATTTTCTTCGGATGACTTCTGCATAGACGCGTCGATATCCGAGTTGGACACCCTATTATGATTGGAAGGACTATATTCGGTATTTGAACTTACTTCCGCAACAACATCTTCCAATCGAACCTCTTCGACTCTTTGTTCCGTTCTAACTTGACCATCCGACGAATTGGAATTTTCCCCAAGCGTTGAATGATCCACAGGTTCTTGCTTGACTTTTGGTAACCTCGAGAGAGACACTTGATTTGTCAAGTTAACTTGACTTAAATAAGGCTTGGCAGTCGCTGTAGCGACCGGTTTTGGTCTCTTCGAAATTTCTTTGTCTGCAAACGGTCGATAATTAGGACCACTTCCAGGTTTAGTGATCGAACGACCACTCGGTTGGTTACTTGAGGACGACTTCGGTATTATAGATATAGCCGAATTATTTCTCAATGGAAATCCAACCTCCGGCTTTGAAGAATTTCTTTGCGCCATTGCTGACAGACCTACAACGAGTATATAGATATTAAGAAAAAAACCCAACAGGAAAAATGTTAATAACAAGAAATATAATGATAATGCGGTTGAAAGCATAGCAAACCTTTCTTTGGTTCCTCTTCGCGTTTCTGTTGATTCAACTTGAGAGCCGTTCGAATCGCTATTATTTTTCCCGATTCTAACTGCATATAAATTCCTTTCGGACTCTTCAGAACCATTACTCGCTGTCCAGCTTTCAGAACAATACTTCCTTTATCAGGTGAATTAGTAGGAATAACAACATCCAATGGTAACGTCATTTCTTGCGCACTCATTCCTTGTCTTTGCCACACTTCCGCCGGTATCCATCGGCTTCCGGTCACACCACGTGTACTCAATCCTTCAGCGCCACGTTGTTGCATAGGTCGAACGGATGCAACCGGTTTGGACGTCGTACTGCTGTCACCGCCTCGAATGGCTCTAATTTGTAATCCTCCTGCTGCAATAATAAATTCCATCAAATTCATAACAGTTCAGTTCGAAGTAAATCAAATATCACAAGAAAATGAATCGTACCGCGTGTTGCAGTATTTCCAGGCACATAATTATAACTAGGTCTTGAACAATTAGCTGCCATTTTTTCGAGTTCGTATCCACGACGCGCTAACCGTTTTTCGGCCTGACTAAGCTTTTTATCTTTGCGATCTACGAGTAGACTTTCATGATGGAACGGCTGCTTCGTGAGCAAAGACGAATGTCGTTCCAATACACGATGCATCACTTCGTCGGTATAACTATCCTTTGACTGCGAGAAATCTTGTACTTGACTATCCTCTTCCCAATCCCAAGACAATGTAGTTGCTTCTTTTAATGAAAGATGAGCGTCCGGATTACACTGATCAACAACTCGATCTGCCATTCCTTGCTTACTAATTTGTCTGTCGTATATTTTCCTTTCTAAACAATTGTCAGTAACTAAACGGTAAACGAAGCAAGGTTTATGTTGACCGTATCTGTAAACTCTGCACACAGCTTGCGTATCATGGCAAGGATTCCAAGAAGCATCGAAAACGATTGCGCGATTCGCACCAACGAGATTAATACCTAGCGAACCAGCACGCGTTGAAACGAGAAAAAGATGTATTTTTGGATTGTTATTAAATTCATTGATGAGCTTCTCCCTTTCTAAAGCGCTAGTACTCCCGTCTAATCTATAATAGTTTACGTTCTTAATCCAGGCATCTGTTTGTCCGTCTGGATACTTCAAACTATTTCTAGCTAAAAAATCTTCTATGAGATTCAATGTGAATAGAGACTGAGAAAACGCTAAGACACGGTCACCGAGCTTAATTGCTTCTTCTAAAATACAGAAGAAAATTGTCATTTTTGCAGACGCGTCAATTAATCCGGGTACGTAGCCTTTCATTAATTCCGTTGCCTATAAACGAATAATATTGATTAAATTCTGATAATTTTGTGCATAGTCTAATCTTCATATAAATATATTATATTTACCCAATCATATGGTATTCCGGGATCTTCTTTTCCTCCTGGGGAACTCTTACAATCCTTTTCTTCATCTTTCGTAAGAATTTCGTCATCAGATTTATCTTCTTTATCTTTGTCTAGCAAATCGTCTTTTTCTCTTTCATCTTCCTTTACCAAATCAGTTTGATTCAATCGCGGACTATGCGATGAACCAATACTTTGCACAGATCTAGAGATTGTTGTTTGACAACTAGATTCAGAACTATAGTTTGAACTTGTAGATACGCTACTTTGATGTATTGGTTGACTCTGTACACCAATACTCGACGTCATTTCTTTGCTATTTTTGTCACAAGAACCTGAATTTTGATTATGGTTGGCAGATTGTGGAGGTTTCGAACTGTCTGTTCGTGAATTCACATCCGAGTTATGATTATTACCATAATCGTTAAATTGGTTCTGATAATTTTGGGGTGGAAAGTAATTATTTTGATATCTGTTTACATTTGGATTTACATCTCGATAATACGGATCGTTACACTGATCAGATCTGAATGGTTGAGAATAATTTCTTTGCCAATAAGGATCTTCCGATCCCTTCAATTGGCCTACTTGATTCTGATGCGCACCCTCCGACGAATAGCTCGACAAAACAGGATTCTGTGACTGAGGTGGATTTACCGAATAATTACTCGTTGAACTACTCGTCGAATTGCCTCCTTGCCGATCAGATGAAAACTCGTGGGCCGTACTAGGTGCCGGCGTATAATTTTGGCCTTGCTGTTGACTATCCGGTCTAGAGTAAAGTTGATCATTTTGATTCAACGAAGGGGCTGGTGTTTGTTGATTTTGAGGATATGAAAGGGACTGACTCTGCGGCTGCGGTACTTGTCCCTGCTGAGTATTCCCGTATCTATGAGATGGATTCTGTGACATTGGTGCTGATCCTTGATGAGTAGAACCGTATGCATGATTTGGACCCGGAGGTGGTCCTGTTGGATTTTGTGTATTAGGTGGATACGAAGACTGACTTTGTGATCCGGATGAAGTTACAAGATGCGAGTAACCATGCATGGTATTTTGTGGATTTGAAACCGGACCTTGTTGCTCTTGAGGATATCCATGTGTTTGAGTAGGAGCACTCGGTGCTGATTGTCCTGCAGGGTATGAGGATGAATTTGGTGGTACACTTATTTGATTCTGAGCTGTTGTAGAATACCCACGCATTTGATTCTGCGGAATGGAACTTTGATTCGACGAGTTCGTCATGTAAGGATTAGACTGATTTGGTGCCATTGGATTTGGTGTTTGTTGATTGAAGGGAAGCGACGGCTGTGACGAATTGTTGCTACTCACTTGAGTAGGGTAAGTATGAGATGGATTAGGTAGTGGCATATTTTGAGATTGTGGACCAGTATAAGTATGAGAAGAACTTTGTAAATTGAGATTCTGATTTTGTTGATTCGGCGAGAAGCCACGATTCTGACCTGGAGCCGCTCCCTGTCCTTGTTGATTTGGAAGATATCCAGCTGTTGGAGTTTGTGAAGTTGCATTTTGGTTTTGTTGATTCGCACCGTATCCCATTGTAGAATTCTGCAACGGTTGATTTTCACCCCGTGAGTACATCGTATTTGACTGACCCGGTGCGGGATTATAATTCTGGCCTTGATTTGGTGTATATGAAGAATAATCGGGCATTGACATATTTGTAGATTGATTTGGCATTTGAGATTGAAACGAAGACTGATTCGGAACTTGAGGATAGTTGCTTGATCCTTGATTTAAGTTTGGTGTATAATTACGTCCGTGATCTTGATAAGGATAAGACGGGCGCGAAAATATTCCAGGCACCTCATAATTATTACCTTGATTTTGATCCGGACGAAATTCCGAATTGGAAGATGCAGTCGGGTATCTCTGCGGATGATTGTTTGTAGACTGTTCGTTATTTGGTACATAATTTTGGGACTGATTTGAATAACTCTGAGAAGGATTATATCCTGGGGTTTGTGTATACGTTTGGAATGGTTGATTTCCATATCTTTGTGATCCTTGATTATTGTAAAATTCATTATACTCTCCATGATTATTATCATTTTTGTAATATGAATTTTGATCATTTGGTCTATAATTTTGATACCCATGAGGATAAGAATTTTGTGGTACTGAATTTGGATATCCCGAGTTACTATTCATTGGCATTGGATAATTGGAGTAATTGTTCTGTTTTGAAACAGGAGGAGTAGTATCAGATTCTATGGTATCAGTGTTCGATGATGATGAAGCATTAGGTTGCACACTGGCTGCAGGTTTATTTTTTATAGTCGTGTTTGTTTTCTTGCCTTTTTTCGATTCTCCTTTCGGCTGGCGAGCTTTCGAACGTTTTCCTCCGCCAGCAGCAGGTTTTTCACCAATCGTTTCTTCCAAATCCAAATCATCTTCCTCGTTCGTTTGACGTTTACGTAGAAAGTGATACAAAATATCAGGATGGTTCCAGATTTTACAACATACAGCAAAAGCTTTTAATGGATTAGGAACAGCTCGAGTTTTAACTACTTGATTCATAAATGTGTCATATAATTGGCGTTGATGTGTCGTCATCCGAACCAGAAGAATGTATTCCTCTTTACGCGGCAATGATACTTGCAGTACAGAATGCGATCTTCGTTGTACAAAACCTTCTAATAGAGCATGCAACACATGTGCACGGTACCTCATCAGCCGTATGTCTTGTGGGGTCGAGTCAATACATTGTCCATTTTGTATGGGTCTTTCAAACATGTTACAAAACTCGCTTTTAGTTCCTAAGTAATTAGGTCTTACAAAGTCAACCATGCACCAATATTCCAAGAGATTGTTTTGCAAGGGATAACCAGTTAATACGATTCTACGTTTTGTGCGCATTTGTTTCAGAGCCATACTAATACTGGCATGAGAATTCTTTATTCTATGACCCTCGTCACATATGACTAAATCAGGACCAGGATTAACCAGAGCTGCATGCATGTCGTTTAATAATCCTTTATTCTTATCCTCTTCTTCAACATCAACAGTATCCTTGAAAGGTTGTCCACGTTTTCTTTTCGCTTTATTCGGCTTTTTTAAGGATAACTGTCTATATAACTCATAACCAATTAATAAAACACCACCTCCGATCTGCCACTCTTGTATTATTTTAGCTCTTGCTGTCATTGTTTTATGAGAATCATTTAAAATATGCAGTCGAAAATGTCTTGGTCTTAATCCCATTCCAATAGGAGAATCTACTGAATCTGGAGTTTTAACTTTCTCAACCTCTTTTTTCTCTTCATTCATCATTTCTTCTTTTGTTGTACAAGTACCTTCTTCCTTTTTCACTATTTCTTCTGGCTCTTTCTTTACATTAATCTCTGTACTTAAAGGAGGCATAGTATTTTTAAAGCATTCCTTTCTTGAGTCTTGATCTGATTCTTGAGTTGGTCTTGTATAATTGGGAAAGGTGTTCGTAGAATTATCATAATTTGGATACATTGATCCAGGGTGATGGTTTTCTGGACCAGGATACAAAGCACCAGGATTTCGGTTTTCCATGTTGGAGTACATAGGAGGTTGTGCCCGATTTTCCAAACCAGGATATATATTACCAGAATTCTGATTATCCACGCTAAACTTCGTATCCGGCATATTAGGTCTTTGTTGCATAGTATGACAATTTACTTCTGATTTCAGCGATTCGAAATTAGACATTGGATTAGGGTTTGTATTGTACATTGTATTTTGAGAAATATCTGCTTGATAATTCTCGTTCACGTGTACTTGAGAGTCCGGAATATTTTTATTTAACATACTGTCTTGCATATAGCTGGGCATCATATTATGTGTTTCATACCCTTGATGAGTATATGGATTATCTGACATAATATTCAAAGGTTGTGGTGGGTTTTCCTGTCCAAATCGATGTGCTGATTCTGTACTAATAGGCCTTGATATATTGGATATATCACTTTGATTTCCACATTCATCCTTAACTTCTTGCTTAAGTTCTACACCAGGTTCAGACTTGACGTTTATAGCCTTAATATTCTTTTCTGGTGCATTAGGGTCCTCGTATGGTAACCACATATTAAACTCTGCTAACCAGTTTTGCAATGTGTTAATAGGCATGATACAAAGAACTGTTTTGGCTGTGGTACATCGAAAAAAAATATCACAAAAGCTAGCAACTTGAAGAGTTTTTCCTAAACCCATACTATGAGCTAAAATGCAACCAAAACCAGAACTATTTTTATACCTGTCAATGCTTTCAACAATATTGTCATACAGGAAACGAATACCACCAATCTGATGAGGTTTGATGATACGTGCAACTTGTGGTGCTAAAAATACATCAGGTTCAGTTTCAGGATGACCCACATTAATTAAAACTCTACCATGTTCATCCGGAATGTTGTATCTATCATTGGTATGCATGCCAGAATTGGATGGATCATCTTCGTTGTCTGTTTCCTCTTCCCCGCTTGGATCACTTAAAACTATACAGTCATCATCTGAACTCTCACTAGAACTAGATATTGTAACCACATCTTTTCCCTTACCACCCTTTTGAGACTTTGGCCCAATAGATAATTTTTTAGTTGCATGCATCTGTTTCTCGCGCAATGCTTCTTCAGCTTCTAGGTCCGATAATTCGGAATCTGAATAGTATTCAGATCTATCCATAGGTTCCTTCTTAGGAACCACAGGTGATATGCTCACAGAAGGTGTCATCATACGAATTCTTTGTTGTAACATATTGGGACCAGTAGAACGATTTGGAACTCTGGAAATTGATGTCTGTGCACCTTGATAAACACCCCTTCCTTTTTGCCAACGAGTTCCATCTACTGTTCTTCTTTGCATTTGACTTGCTTGCATGCTAGATGTGGTTTGAGATGCAGTCCCAGATCCAGAATTAACTTTGAGAAGTACTGTATTTGGTAAACGGACTGGTGTAGGTGAAAACGATGTTGAAGATGATTGTGAAATGGTAGTTCCTGCTTGATTTTGCTTTCCTTGTAATAGACTTATTACTTTTGTCTGTGTTTTATTGTTTTGTCTACTTATTGCTATTTGCTTTTGGACTTCACGAATAATCCTCTGTTGTTCCTGTACCCTTCGAAGACGTTCCATTTCCTGTCTTTGAGCAGACAAAGTAGCTTCATCAAGCTGTGTTTCGTCCATAACTTCTCGAATATTTCTCCTCATATTTGCTAATTTCTTTTCTGCCTTTGATTCACATTCTTCATTTCCTTCACTTCCATCGTCCTTTCTTTGTTTCTTCTTAGCTGTATCAGAAAGCTCCGATTCAGCATGTCTCTTACCAATCTCAGTATTTTCATCTTCCATGGAATGACTGTCATGTTTGTCATCTTCATGTTCTATACTGTCCTCATCGTCTGAATCTTTCGAAATTGGTTTTCCAAGCAAGTCTGCTTCGGTTACTTCTTGACCTTCTATTGGAGCTCCTTTTAATACAATTAAAAATTATAAGCAAAATATATTGATACAATAAAATTGTAGAAATAATTTTATACATACCTTCCAATGGTAAAGTGTCCAATATATTAACAGGTTCCTCATCATCCTCTTCAGCTTGAGAATGATGCAATCGTTCTGACTCCATCCTTACCCCAATTTGAGAGTCAATAGTTTCATCTAAATCCATATCGTCCCCTGAACCCTCAGAACGTATTTCTTCTATCTCCTCTGACTGTATTGCGTCATTTTTCTTCTCTTGTTCTCCGTCTGATGTTTCACCGCTAGATTCTTCTGAACTTTCATCATTTCCTGTTTGAGGCTCTACATTATTCATGGTTGTATTTGTTGAAGTTTCATTCAAAGATACTGGTTCATTAGACTTAGGACCTGAACGAGGAGTCACGCGTTCAATAGTGACATCCCCAATACGTGTTAAAAAACTGTCCAAACTATTAGACATGATGTGTACAGTTCATTAAGTCACAATACGTTTCCTCGAAATTTCATACGAAATTATGGAATGTCTTGACACTTTTCTGCATAACACTAAAAATTATATTATTCTGCATATCACTAAAATTATTTATTTATAATTTTATATCCTCCTTTGCCTGTAATAAGAAATATGCTACTTTGTAAGTTACATTTTTAAAAAAAAGATACTAAAAATCTATTATATTGATAAAAAAATTAAATCAAGTAATTAAAAACTGCTTAGCTCGAAATAGCATCAAGATAATGACAAAAACCATCCTAGGTAGTCAACACAAAGAATACAAAATAAAAATATGATCTAATGTATATGGAAATCAAGGAATACTGCTTAGATCAAAATAGCGTCAAGATAATGATAAAAAACACCCACGATACACAACACAAAGAATACAAAATAAAAATATTGCCTACCACACATGTATTTATTATGCTTTTAATTTGACAATTCATTCCATTTCTAATGTCGGAACACAATTTTAAATATAAAAAAAATACACTCCTGCATCAAGTTCGATTATCTTAAATACCATACATGTGTAATGCGTATATTTGTATTTCATACGTATGCCCCCTTGATAAACAAGGTTGACTATAGTTCAAAGCAGCAGAAATAAATGCTTAATAATAAAACCAAAATACCTAAAAAATTTTAAACATTAAAGTAGGGAATAATATCACGTTCATATATAAAAATGTTTTCAAGGAAATTGTATGCATTTCCAAATGATATCCAGATCATTATTATCGATATAAAAACTTCAAAAAAGCAAAGAACTCTGTGATAGGATAGAAACTATGAATCATTCAAAGCACTTGCAATTAAACACACTTGTTGAGAGATTAAGTTAGTCACATTCGCGAATTGACGAGCAAATCCTACAGTAACAAACTGGGCAGTACTATTTAACGAAAAGGTTACAGTAAACGCACACCTCAGCTTGCGATAACGTAACCGTAGTAGTTGCGTTATAGTATTCATAATGTTCAGAGTTATTTAAGGTAGGAGCTGTCAAACAGGGAGAATGAAAGCAGCTCAGAATGTTTGTTTTCGGACAAGCCGATCCGGCTCGACGATTAACACCAGGAAGTCGCGTCGTTTTGTAACCGGCGTCGTCATGTATCTCGCACACGTCAAATTTTACCTACGATCCGTATTTACGACCGCTTAATTAGCCGTTAATTACGGATTAAATATAATGACACACACATGCACACGTTTGATAGACGCCATAGCGTCGTTGTTCGCCGCTCGACGATCACGGTTCTCCGCAATGTCCGAAGATCAGCGAACAAGCCTTGTCACTCGGGTTAATGCACGCATCGTTTCTACCACGACGTCCAATTCCTTTTCATTTGAGCCTCATGACGAAGCTACGGGGATTCACTTTACCACCAAAATCTCACTGAAGTTCGCACGCGTCGCTCTCAAGCTTTCCGCGGCATTTTTTTCACGCACTTTTTCTAACAAGTATATTCCACTCGGTGGAACGCCATCTTGGCTGCGCCATAAAACGCATCCGCTGAGTGTTCGCGAGGGAACGGCACCCAGAACTAAGTAAAATATGTCTTTCAAATTCTAAAGGCCATATGATTCATTTTATTTCGTAACTGAGTTCGTCGTTCTTGATATAAAGTTCTAGCATATTTTCCGTCAATTTCTTAATATCTTACACAAAAACACTATTATATTTGCATACTAGTAACAATATACATACAGTACATATTTTCCTATTTTATTTATTTGAATTGAACAGATAAATGGTATTCGAATTTGTATCATTTGAAATAGAAGTACTTCAAACGCAAATATTACAAATAATGTAATGTAAATGTTAATTACTAGGTACTAAATATAGTATTACAAATAAAACAAAGTTACAAATGAAAATTAAATAATTTATTCGAACAATTGATAAACTGTTGCAATTTATTGTTATAGTGTCATAGATTTCAAGTTGTATGTCATTCTGCTAGAAAGGAATTAAAAAATCAGAACTTGTATTTTTAGTTTTATTTGATTGTGATG